TATATATATATGTGTGTGTGTGTGTGTGTGTGTGTGTGTGTGTGTGTGTGTGTCGAGATAGATATATGTCGGTCAAGTTTGAAAGATTAAAACGTGCATCTAATGATTTCATTTTACATGATGATTCCTAACATTGGGGTTATTGAAACCTAAACATAGCTGCCCGCCAAGATACCTGTTAATGTTCCCCATGATACAAGATGTATCAAAAATGTGTGCCGATTATAAAAACATTTATTTCATTGTAATGTGCTATGCAACTTGGGGAAAAGATACTTTTCCCACAAAATAAAAAAAAAAAAACATGAAAAATAGCACCATGTTACCTGGTCCACCACTTGTGACAGCTGACCATGGAAGCAAGTTGGATCAAAACATATCCACAAGCGAGTTTCTTCCCCTTGAACTAATGCGATGTTCTGAAAGAAAGGATTCTTCAGCAATCTCATGGTTGATGCAGTGAAAAGATCATCATCAACCGTCTTCATTTGTACAATGCTCTTTTTGGACATCGTTCTACACTTATAAGTGGCTCCTGCAGCCTTTAATTATAGTCACAACCATTTGAACAAAGCGCACATAGTTTTTGATTGCTTTATGGTCGTGGAGCCATTGGGCAGGGAAATAAAAATACAAATGCTTCTATGAAAGCAGCAGATAACTGAATAAAATATTGAGATCAATGCTTTCTTTTGTATCGTTTTCATTTGCTGCACTCCTCAACATTGTAGAGTCCTGCCAAAACACTTTGCACAAATATAGCCAATACACCTCAGATGTCCTGCAATGAAAATGTTTTATTGTGCCATTAGGGTGACACAATGTTTGCAACCATTCCAAGCGTAACTACCACACATTTCCTCGATGGGATGAATGCATTTAAGCACCCCGTTCCATTCAAGTATGTGAAGCAGTGCACGGGCAGTGCAAAGTAATTCCAAAATTGTATGGCGAGATCAATACAAGGCAATCCCATCCAGTCAACTATCTTGTTTCGTTGCTCCAAGATATCACAATGAAAACATGGGTGACAATTAAACAGAAAAAAAGAAAAGTAGGAGAGGTGACGACATACTTTAATGTTAGCAGTACTCTGGACTCCTCGGGCCTCGCACAGGGAGAAAGGAGTAGCGAGTGAGAGCTCCATGGATAGCGACAAAGATGAGACGTTCTTTAAAACCAGCTCCTCATAGAGTTGGGTAAGATCTTCCCCCGGGAGCTGATGGACACATATGTAAATGGGTATCATGGTTAGGCAATGGTGCCATAAAGTTATGAGCTGAAAAAAAATATGATGATCACAATTCTTTGATCAACCTTTTCGATGTAGAAATTCAGTTTCTGGGAGGACATGCTGAGTATGGGGGTCACAAACTGGCATGTCACCTCCACCGAAAATATATGCTCCTTAATCCCCTGATGACCGACAATGCCACAGCAGACGAGCGACTCTCTCACAACCTGAGTGGGCAAGTAAAGGTTATTTGAATAAAGGCAATTCAATGAGGCACGCATGCTCTGATATAGTATTCAGTATCTGTACTTTAATGAGAAACATTCCAAAACAATACTGTTTGACTACTGTGTTAGTAATGTGATTATAAGTGTAACTTTGAGTTTAAATAACAGATATAATTAAAAATACCTGTTGTATACCTAAATAGTGGCCATACTTTAGAAAAAAAATATCACTGTCAATCATGGGAGTGACCAGGGGCCTCATTTGCCAAAGTGTGTGTGTGTGTGTGTGTGTGTGTGTGTGTGTGTAAATACAAATAAATAAATCTGTATTCATCAAACGTATGAACACCTGTCACACACACCAGTAATGTGTGTTGATAAATCGCTCATGTTCCTCAAAACTGCCAAGCTCGCGCTTGTCATGTTCCGTATTCGACAGCAGGTGGCAGGCATTCATTCTGCCGCCTGCACACCTGTGGCGCATTTGTTCTGGATTACACCTGCTATATCTAGGCACTCCGGCTGTCAACTCATTGCCGGAGTATTGCTTGCCGTGCCACTGCTATTGCCCATGCTCGTATTTCGTATTCGCACTCTATTGCTATTCGCTACTATTTCGTCATCCCAGTGGGATTCTCTTTAACGCGTAGTT